CAAATCGAGGTACTTCAGACTTCGATTTGTCTGAAAATTGCTCGCATTAGTAATTTGACCCTCGCAAACAAGAATCTGAGGTCAAAAGATGTCTCCTGAAATTTCTAATTTTTTTTAATTTTTTTTAATTTTGAGTTTTCCGAAAAATGACTATTCGACAAATCCGTTTGTTGATTCCAAACGAACTTAGAATCTAGCCTGAAAATCAACCAGGGTAACTAAAAAACTTCAAGCTATTGAATAGTCAAAACTAGAACACAGGATCTTTGGCTATTCCGGACTTACGGGGCGTCAAATTTTAAATTTGGTTTTTGAGTATGAGTTAAAGAAAGATTTCGTTTAAAACAATGAAAATATTCAAGAACTAACGCCAGAAATGGATTCAGAGGCACAAAATTAGTAGAGAAACCGAATTTCACTCAGAACTGTTTTTTTTTGGCTTCATTTTTTTGACCTTTTGAAATTTTCAGAATTGAGATATTTCGGACTCTGATTGGCCTGAAAATTGCTGGCATTAGTAATTTGACCGTCACGAACAAGAATCAGACGTCCAAAGATGTCTCCAGGACCTTCTTTTGTTGGTCCGGTTTTATGAGGCGTCAAATTGTAAATTTGGTTTTTGAGTATATGTTAAAAAAGGATATCATTTAAAATAGTATAAATATTCGACAACTGAGAATCAATGCTGAGCCAAAAACGGACTCGGCGATGTAAAATTAGTCTATAGAAACCGAATTTCAGTCATCAGATCGATTTTTTTTAATTTCATTTTTTCGATGTTTTGAAATTTTCAGGATTTCGATCATGTAAAGCTATTTCCCTTAAATAGATTTCAATTTGCCTAAAAATTGTTCGTTTTAGCAATTTGACTCTTCTGAACACGAATCAGACCACAAAAGATGTCCTCAGGATTTTTTTCTTATTTTTTTTTTTTTAATTGTATACTCTTAAGAAAAATGTTTTGTCGACTCTAAATGAACCTAGAGTACGTGCTGAAAATCAATCAATTCGATTCAAAACTTCAAGAAATTGAATGCATGAAAATCGAAACCCGGAATTTTATGTTGTTCCGGACTTATGAGCCTTCAATTTGAAATTTGGTTTTTGAGTAGGTACGGGTGAAAGAAAGATTTTGTTTGAAACAGCGAAAATATTTAACAACAGAAACGGACTCAGCGATGCAAAATTAGTCTAGAAACTGAATTTTGATCACATCGGAATTTTTTCAAGTTCATTTTTTCGAATTGTGAAATTTTCAGGATTGAGTTCATTTCATATCTCGCTTAAATGGATTCTAATTTGCCTGAAAATTGCTCACTTCGGTAATTTGACACACTTGAACAAGAATTAGAATTTATATTAAAAGATGTCTCCGGAACCTCTTGTTTTTTGTTTTTTTTTTTCCAATTTTGACTCTTGCGAAAAATGATAACGTCCGATAAACTCATTTGTCGAGCTCGAACCCACATAGGATCCGCCCTGAAAGTCAATCAGTTACATTAAAAAACTTCAAGATTTTGAATGGTCAAAACCAGAACCCAGAATCTTGGGCTGTTGAGGACTTATGGGTCGTCAAATTCTGAATTTGGAGTTTGAGTGTGACGAAATAAAGAAAGATTTCGTTTAAAATTGTGAAAATATTCAATAACCGCAACGGATTCAGAGGTGCAAAATTAGTCTATAAACCAAATTTTAGTCATCAGATAGATTTTTTTTTAATTCATTTTTTCTACGTTTTGTTGAAATTTTCAGGATTTAGAATATTGCAAACTCGTTGCTCGTTTTAGTAATTTGACCCTCTCGAACAAGAATCAGAGCTCAAAAGGTGTCTCCGGGACCTGCTGATTTTTTACATTTTTTTTTTTTTGAATTTCAAGTCTTCCGAAAAATAACACCGTCCTAAAAATCCGTTTATTCATTCCAAACGAACGTAAAATCCAGCCTGAAAATCAACCATTCCAACTAAAAAAACTTCAAGATTTTGAATAGTCCAAACCAGACCCGGAATCTTTGGCTATTTCGGACTTATAGGGTATCAAATTTAGTAATTTTTGAGTACAGGTTAAAAAAGGATTTCGTTTAAAATGATTAAAAAATTAGTTTAAACCAGTCATTAGATCGATTTTTTTAACTTAATATTTTCAACGTTTTGAAATTTTCAGGATTTAGACCATGTCAAGCTATTTCCAACTATAGACTCCAATTTGCTTAAAATTGCTCGTTTAGATTAGTAACTTGACCTTTCTGAATAAGAATCAGACGTCAAAAGGTGTCTTCGGGACCTCCTGATTTTATTTTTTTTTTTAATTGTCGACTCACCCTGAAAAATGAAGCCCCACCCATCTGTCTCGATCTTAATCGTGATGAATTTTTCATTCGCTGTCAGACCGAGGGGCGGAGCGTAATTGCAAAATCGATATTTCGCTATACAAATTTACCCCTTTAAACATGTTTTAAGTTTCTAAGAATAACAAAAAATTGTCACAAATGAGATAGGGTGGGTGGGCGGGGTTTATATTTTTTTTTCTTAATACCTATAGGTACGTAATATTTTTTTAACAACACGAGACTTAAAAAGATGTTTTTTAATTTCATGTGAAAAATATGTATTTTCCATTTAAGCTTCGCCCCGCCCACTTGATTTATGGCGAATAAAAAAATCACCACAATTAAGACAGGGCGGGTGGGCGGGCTTACATTTTGCCTCTTTGTTTCAATATATGTAGACTTCTTTTCATAACATGAAACTTAACACATGGTTAAAATGGAAAATTTGTACAATAAAATATCGATTTTGCTATTAAGCTCCGCCCCATAATTGTAAAATTCATAATTCCTTGCAAAAATGTACCATTATGTTCTAAGTTTTTTGTTGTGAAAAAATGGCTATGTATATTAAGAAAAAAAAAAGCAAAATATAAGCCCCACCCACCCGCCCTATCTCAATTCGGATGATTTTTTTATTCGTCGTAAGCGGAGGGGCGGAGCTTAATTGTAAAATCTTTATCTTTCTACGAGAAATTACCATGTGGAATATGTTCGTAAGTAATCGTACAAAGAAAACAAAATGTGTTAATTAAAAGAGAAAACCAAAAGAGAAGCCCCACCCATCCGTGTCGATCTCAATCGTGATGAATTTTTCATTCGCTGTCAAACCGAGGGGCGGAGCGTAATTGCAAAATCGATGTTTCGCTATACAAATTTACCATTTTAAACATGTTTTAAGTTTCTTGTTGTGAAAAAATGACTACACATATTAAGAAAAAAAGGAAAAATTTAAGCCCACCCACCCGCCCTATCTCAATTGTGATGATTTTTTTATTCGTCGTGAGCCAAGAGGGCGGAGCTTAATTGCAAAATTCTTATTTCTGTTCAAGAAATAGAAAACATGTTTTTGAGTATCGTGTTATTCAAAAAATACTATTAAGATGATATTAAGATAAAATTATAGCCAAAGATTAAGCTGCACCCATACCTGCCCCGATCTAAATAGTAATGAAATTTTCATTCGTTGGCAGACCTAGGGGCGGAGCCTAATTGGAAAATCTCCTATATTTCGTTATAAAAATTTACCATTTTAAACGTGTTTCAAGCTTCTAAGAATAAAAAAAATCATCACAAATGAGATAGGGTGGGTGGGCGGGGTTTAAATTTTGTCTTTTTTTCTTAATATAGGTACATATTATTCTTTGAACAACACGATACTCAAAAAGATGTTTTGAATGAAATATGTATTGTCCATTTAAGCTCCGCCCCCCCCTTGGTTTACGGCGAATAAAAAAATCATCACAATTGAGACAGGGCGGGTGGGCGGGCTTACATTTTGTTTTTTTGTTTTAATAAGTATATGTAGACTTTTTTTCACAACATGAAACTTAAACTGTAGATAGGTAGGTAGGTATGCTAAGAGAAAAAGGCAAGTTATCACAAAACGAAAATCGCAGAATTTAATTTTATAATTTTTTAAAGAAGCGGAATTTATCGGACCATATTTCAAAGACGAGGGAAGTTCTGTCAAAATAACCGTCTACAATTTTTTTACCAGCTTTGTTTTTCTTGGTAGCGTCTTTAAAATTCCAAAAACAATATAAATTTTTCAAAACGTCATCAGTGTCGCCAACAAAACTGAGAATAATAACAATAATAATAATAATATCCAAACAACATCTCAAGATCTATGACGCCAGAAGCGTTAGACTTTTTTAGAGGAAAACATTTTTCGATTAAACTGATTCATTTCATACTTTGCTAATGTTATTATTTAAACTCAATACATATTTCGCCGACGCCGACATTACCTATTATTATAGCAGATAAATGAAAATAAATAGATACAATTTAAAATTTTAATTTTGGGAAATGTGTGCATTATTGTTGCATCGGCAGACTTTACTTTACCTTAAAAAATAATAAAAAATAAAAATACAAAATTTAATATTCGCTTTTTCCACATAACTGATGAAAATCATAAAAATTAAGTTCTCCTTAATCACCTTGTTGTTGCAAGAAATTTTCATTTTGTTGCGTCAATCTCCCAAATGACGATTCCGTCGTGGACCTCAGCGCTCTCTTCCGCCCCACGATTCCCTCCGGCCCCCAGTCGTCCCGCTCAGTTTTTGCCGTTGCCATCAATCCCAATCAGTCCTCGACCCGCTCGTACTGCGTGCACCTCGTTGAATCAAAACGGCGAGAAAAAGTGTGCTCCATCCCAAATCAATATGCCCAATAAAACGATATAAATACACAATATCCAAGTGAAGAGCCACCCTCGTGTCCCGGCCCCGCCCCTTCGCCCAAACTCCCTTTCCATAAGACCGCGAATCGCCGCTCGCTCTCGCCGGGCCAGCGGCCGCCCTCCGCAATCTCCAACAGCTCTCATTGGCCGAACCGTCCCTCGTTCGTCCTCGCCCCGCCCCGCCGCCGCTTCGAGTACCCAGAATGCAGCGGGGCCGGCAGAAGTGCCATGTACACTTTGAGGACACTCTAAGAGTACGCTTAGGCAAGTTAAGCGCACTTCGCCGCTAAAGAGTCTTACATCAAGAGCGCCTGAAGAGTGCTATAGCTCGATCGCTGATTTATTTATATAGTTAGTCAGTTTGTTTATTGAATTCGGGTATCGGAAGTCGGATTCGAGTGAGCGTGATGGCGGGCGTCTAGTGCGGCGGGCGTCGATGTCGTCTGCAGCCGGGGGCTACGGCGAGGGGCCCGTGGTGACGGACCGCGGAGACCTGCACGGGCTACTACCCGAGCTCAATGGGGTCGAGCTGGCTATGAGCCTGAGCCCCAAGCATCATCAAGGAGGACCGCAGGTTTTGAGCCATCTGCAGCAGCTGCACCACTCGACGCCGTTCAGCGTCACCGATATCTTGAGCCCGATCGAGGAGTCCTACAGGAAGTTGGAGTTGGCGGCGAACCCGCCGTCGCCGTACAGGTAGGAAGGCGGCCGACGCGTTGCGGCGACGATGTCGGGGTGGTGATGAAGGACGAAACGGGCAAGTGCGAGCATGAAAGTATTTTTAGAGTGAGAGTGTTCAGCGGTGCAACACTGACTATTATACGGGATTTTGGCGGTTTATGTGGACTGTTGAACAAAATATTTTGAGACTTGGTCTGATAGAAATTGTTTAAATCTCTAAATACAGTATATCTAAAATGATATATATTTAATAAATTTGTTTTTTTTTTTATAATAGACGGAATAAAACAATTCATATAAAAATACTTTATACAGTGTTCTACTTTTACAAATTCAAATTTAGTGCAATTAAAAATAAAATCTTGTCAGTTGTATGCATATATTTAAATGAGTTCTATCAGATCGTTTAAAATGTTTTCAGTAATACTCCGAAAATGTGCAATATTCCACTAGAACTTTGAAACACACTGTATATTTATTTGCTCACATTCCACCAAAAATTACATTTTTTTACGCAAGTTGCAACTAAAAAATCCATTTTCTTTCATTTGGTAGACGCTAGCCAAAGTTATTACGTCATTAATTTTTCAGAAGGGGTAAAAAGAAATATAGTAGTGAAGTTGGTGCTAGAAAAAATGCAGTTATCTGACCTCATTAACTGTGTGGCTGGTAATGTCGATTATTATTAAGTCACGGGAATTTTTAAAAAGATGAATGTCGTATTTTGGTAATTATATGTTCAATAAAATTAGCGATAAAGAAACGACAGACAGATGGACACGAGAAATCGGCATTTCCGTAGTCTACACCCTGTAAAAAGTCGAGAAAACACAAATTTACATATTCGTAAAATTACAGAATTAAAATTTCCTTGTTTACAAAAATCTAGTTTAATATTCTCAAAATCCTTCCAAGATTTCAACCATTAATTATTATTAGATATATATATCTACACTATTCTGAAATTTTGAAAATTTTGAATTCAAAACTACGACGGCAGCAATTTTTTAAATCGCAGGAAGAACAATTTTCATAATTTCCCCAAATGCTTTAAAATTAGTTAACTTAGTGAGCTAGTGATTTCATATACAGGGTGTTCAAAAAATTGCGCACTAAATCAACCGTACATTATTAAGTTTACAAGTCTAAGTTCGAAAAAAATCATTAAAAAATTCTTTACGTCAAGCTGACGTTGATAAATAGATCAAAATGGGTGAAAAATTAACTGCTGTTGTCCGATTCATTTTGAACAATTTTTAACTCTTGTAATATTATGGATAAAGACATGATATTTTCAAAATTTGTTTTGAAAGAAAGTCCGATAGATTTCATGTATCCAACTGAACCTGCTGAATTAAAATACGGTGAAGTATCAAAAAAAAACTTTGAAGAGTTATGTCTTCTACATTTGGAACCAAGGATTGTTAAAATTATTTTTTCTCTATTCCATAAGCAGTCTTTAACAACTTGTCGTGCAATTTTTTGAGCACCCTGTATATGTACATTTTTTACATACACTTCTGTTAATAATAATTATAACCAGATTTGTCCTTTGATGGTGCTTATTTTTGCTTGTTTTGTGCTATACAGGGTGATCAAAAAATTATGAGGATGTTAGGTTGTTAAGAAGGCTTTGAAGAACTCGAAAAAAATGGTTGAAAAAAAACTTTCCCCAAATATTTAAAAAAATTCTAAACTTGAAAGCTTTGGCATTTTTAAGACGTAATTTGAACTCGATAAATTTCATAAATCTACCAACGGTCAAATAAAAGAAATAAATCATGCCTGTATTAGAAAAATAATGACGTCACACCAAAATGATCACAACTGAGCTGCAAAAGTCAATTACACAGAAAAATTAAGCTAAACTAACAGAATTTTGGTTCATCTTTAGTTCAATACTTTTTCAATACCTTGTACAAACTCGTGAAAGTTTAATAACGACTGTATGCATATGTACATTAGGTGCAGTAGCTACTCGTGACTTTTATAAAGAATTTATATAGAATATTCATGCAAGGTGCTTTATATTCAAGAGTAAAATGTGGGTATGTTAACAACAGTTAATATTCCTACTTGATGTCGATCTAAAAGAATATACAGGGTGAGTTACAAAGTTTCACTTACTATTAAAGATAGAAAATATATAAAGACCGAAGTTAGATGGTTGTCAAAGTATCGTACAACTAAAATCATTTTCAATTCTACAGAGTGTTCTGTTTCTTTGGCGTAACATACAAATTATGGGCTCAGTCTAGACTTTACATCAACCATGGCTTAGTTTTGAAATTTTAATGCGATATTGCCACGTTATTGCAATTTTATTAAAAAATTTTAGCAATGCAGGGGTTTACAAAACAAAAATAAAGAAAATTAAAAACGGAGTCAGATGCAATGAAAGAACTGTAAAATCGATAGTTGAGAACTGTAATATTTTTGAATTTTGTAGAAACACCCTGTATCTATATCAAAACTCAATCTCCTGTCCACAAATTTCCACAGATATTAAAAATAACCTCTTGGCGATTTTTTGTGAAACGTTGTATTGCTACAAAATATTAAGAAAATTGGAATAACGTGTTAAGGTGGCATTGGAATTTCAAACATAAATAAGATTTTAAAGCCTAGGAAGAAACCAACGAGAATGTATATAAGGTGTTCTATTTAAAAAAAAACAAGTTGTATTAACTCTCGAAAGCAGAACACTCTGTATAGTTGAAAATAATTTTAGTGTATTGCTTACAAAGAACCATATACAACTTCCGTTTCTTAATTTTTGCTCGATTTCCAATAATTACTGAGATACCTAGGTACCGCGAAATATGTCTTTACTGACTTAGCCTGTATATGTATATACAGATATATAAATATTTATATTTTTGATGCCAAAAAAACAAATAAATATGTTTGTGATTTTGTTGTACAAAAATTGTGACATGATTAAAAAAATACATATACACATTAGTTCACTGTTCACAGCCTTCCGTGAGCACTTTTTTTTTAACCACTTTATAATGTAACCTTTATCTATCTAATAATTATTTTTTTATTTAATGTGATGTCAAAACAGACTAATTAATTATAACCACATTTCTGCTGAATCCGTCGGTAGATACGATTCATAAATAAGAAAGTTATGTTCTGTTATGCAACTTCTTATTAATTAGTGATGAAAACGAGTAATTAAGATTAAAGAGTTTGTGCTTTCATTATAAAAAAATTAAGCAATAATTGCGAATCTCTGAATTCTTTTAAAATTGGTAATTTTGGTTTACAATTATCCTATATATTATCTTAACAAGTACTAGCCCCACCCACCCACCCTTTACTTTCTTAGAGGGTATGTCATTTGTCAAAATCAGTCTTATCTTACCAAGTACTAGCCCCGCCCACCAGCCCTTTATTTTTTCAAAGGATATGCCATTTGCAAAATAAGACTTATGTTAGCAAGTACTAGAACCGCCCACCCACCCTTTATTTTCTCAGAGGGTAGTACTTGCTAAGATGAGTCTTATTTTGGCAAATTACATATCTTCTGAGAAAATCGGGGCGGGTGGGCGGGGCTAGTACTTGCTCAGATAAGACTGATTTTGGCAAACACCGTACCTTCTGAGAAAATAGAGGGCGGGTGCTTGGAAAAATAAAACTTATTTTGGCAAATGACAAACTCTGAGAAAATAGGGAGCGGGAGGGCGGGGCTAGTACTTGCTAAGATAAGACTGATTTTGCCCCTATTAAACTTTAAATTTAAAAGGTGTTAAATTGCGAATTTCCAAAGTAACGAGTTAAATTCCTAAATTTGATTGGATATTTATTTTTTAACAACTTAGTCATTAATTTTTCTGACACACCCTGTATAAGCAAATAAAAAAAATATTAATTAGATATTAAAAATAAATCACAAGTTTATCCGGCAAAATTTTGAGATGACGTCATCAATTTTTGGAGGAGATAACCGAATATATTTTGATTAAAAATTTATTATATTTACCATAAATTTAAAACATCTGCAAAATTTCAAAGCACTCAGTTTGGCAGATTCAAAATTAAATTGCAAAATGTTTTATAATTTAGATTTTTTTTCCCAAAAATCTGGACGTTTTGAAGTGACGTCATCACATTATTGGTGGCGATGATTAGAAAAATTTTGGTTAGCGTTTTACCATCTAAGTACAAAAATAAATACAAAATTTGACAACAATCTGTCCAATAAAAATCAGGACGGCAGACAGACGGACATCAGATAGACGGACAGACGAAAACGGGAGACCTATTTCTAAAGAGAAAAAGTAAACTTAACCAATTCTTTAAAATTAATAAATTCCAAACAGTTACAACGTATGGCAAGTTCGATCCGTGCTTTGACATTAACTTTAAAAAGAGTCATAATTTCATAATTTACTCCTACTGATGGAATCGTAGAAAAAATATTAAGTGTAACTTACTCGACAAGTATTTTTCGAGATTGATTCAAGAATTCATGCTCACTTTTGATAAAGTGCTGCCTATTCTGATACATACCTACGACATGTAAGAAAGATGGCGTTTTTGGCAGATTTTCTTCGTTATTTTTTAAATATGAATGTAGTTTTTTTTTTCTAACTTTGACATGAGTGTTTGAAAGAGTAATAAAAAACATGAGTGTAGGTATCGCGAACGAAATAAAAAATACGATCAAAGGCACCAGTGGATTTTTGAAGATTTGTCTTTGATAGACTTTTCGTCTTGTCAGATTACCGTCAGTTTGAGAGTTTGAGTTGAAAATGCAACAATCAAAGACAAACTTGCAAAAACCCATGGTTGTCTCTGATCGTGCGTTTTATTGCTTTCTTGGTATACGAAATGAAGGAATAAATTCAGCTATTTTTCTGTCTAGTTTATTAAAACATATTTTATCAAAATCCAAAATTATTTTGAAAACCTTGAAAAAAATGGAGCAATCTTCACTCAGAAATAAAAAAATAAACCACCTTAAAATACTGTGGAATTACTTAGGTATAACTAGGTTAATGGGAAAACATATAAAAAAACGGATTAAAAAAATGTTTGACAATTAAAATCTTGACTAAAAACCATTTTTCTTCTTTGCAGATCTACATCCAGCGGAAGCAGCATAAATTCCCCAGGTGCTGGTGGTACTTCAGGAAGCGGCGGCTGCAGCATGAACGGAAGTTACCCAGTGATGGGCCAGTTTGGCGGCGGCCAATACTGTCCCGTTTCAGAAAATCTGGGCCTCACACCCCATTATTCCTCCGGCTGGTATCAAAGTTCGGCGGCAGACCCCAGATTCGCAAGTAGGTCATTTTCCAGTAAAAAAACTCATTTCCTCAGAAGTTATATCTTTCGCGTATTGTTTTTTTTTATAATTTGTAGCCAGCGCTGCCGTATTTACCTTTACCTACGCCAGCCTTTCTTGTGTTGAAAGTGATACGTAGTAATCGATCCCACCACTCAAACCTTGGAATGCCTAATGGTGGTAAAATGTGGGGCTTTGGTAACGTGATCTGGGTGTCGTGCCCGGGCAGAACGCTGCGGTATTAGCGCCCTTGCGGGCGCGTAACCCGAGAAGACATGTGAATGTGTAACTTCTTCGGTTTTATTGACCAATTAAGTGTAGTCAAACGTCCAGGAGTCGATGGTGAAACGACCGCTCACTTAACAAATTATGCAAAGCCAATCAGCTGCAGTTTCTTCCGTAATTGCTAACCCATTTCACACGCTGGCGGCAACAAGGGGAGGGAATAAAGCGCCAGATTTGCGAGATGGATTATCGTATTCCAGCGGGTCCCGTATTTCCTGAGGCGAGATCCCGTCGCATCGACATCAATCATCTTCCTGTTCCTGTTTGCATACCGATATTCGTGTAATGTTGTTTATGATCGTGTTACGGCATATTAAAGGGGCGCCGAAGGAGCGATGGGGGCCTGAATGGGGTATTTGAATAAGAACGTGCCGCGAAAATCAACCCTATTTGTCTCAAGTTTTTTTTTAAATTAAAGCCAACTCCGAATCAAACTGTTTTTGATCTTCGTATTTATTTATTTTTATCGCGCTATAAAAACCCATCGATGGCCGATAAAACATGTCCACGCCAGAGTTTCTTTGTCCTATAGATATATTTCATAACACAACATCGCTTTCGGCGAATTTTAATCGATCACACCTTCCCTCCTCCCCGCGACCCCTCCTCGCAAATTCCTCTCCAGGTATTTACCTTAAAACAGCACAAATCCCTCTATTGTGCTCCCATCTCCTCATTAATCAACCCATGAAAATAAAACATCATCGCAAGTCGTGTAGACAAACAGCCTCCGGCAGGAGTGGGCCCGAAAATACAACCATCAAGCCACGGCAAATATATGCATGGATGTGCTATTAGGTTGGCAGTAACTAACTGACAGCCCAGCAAATACACTAAGCCCGTACTGTTGACACAGCACTCGAGATCCAGTGACAAAACAGTAGCTGCCGGGGCGGTAATTATAGTTCCGTCGAGGAAAAATCTGCGAGTATTTGCTGAACCTCCCTCGCCTTCGCGGTATCCCCGCCAAACTAAAAACTGAAAAATCTTGAAAACACAATTTGGTGAATTAAGGAGCGTGTGAAAGCGGAGGGCAGCGCGGGCGGAGAGGCGAAGTATTATGTTTGACACCCCTCTGTTACGGATCGATTTTATAAGAATGTGCGTGCCTTGAATAAATATTTATTCTGAAAATGCCCCTGTGTCCATTTCATATACAAGTGCGGAATAAGAGGGGTTGTCTTGGGTAAATATGGGCTGGCACTGGCATGTAAGGCGGCAGATGATGATGGTTTTTGAATTTTGTTTCGGATGGGCGAGGGGAGATGAGTTCGGCGGTTGGGAGTTTGTGATTAGAAAACTATTATTGGACGGAGATTGGGGGTTGTGTTTTTTTTTACATATTTAGACGCACTGTTCAGTGTTCACACAATCAAATGAACTAACTGTTTCGTTGTTAAAACGTTGTCATTATATTAATATTGGTTCATAATGGATGCATTAAACGCGTTTATTAAAATATAGCACAAAATGCCCGCACCTACTCGTTGTAATAAATTATACTCATAAATAATCACATTGAAATGATAAATGCAATGAATTGTTCGTCGTTTTTCATCAAATAATTAACATCCACTCGTGACAAAATCAAACATACCTAATGATTATACAAAATTCGTCATTTTATGTAAGTAGAGCAATGGTCAATCTGAGGTGGATTTTTATTAATTTTGATTTAGAACATTCGCCCACCAGAAGCAACACTGACTGGTAAAGTAAAAAGGATCTTAAAGATCTGAAAGGTTTGGAAAAGTTTCTTCGAGATTGTTTTCAAAAATGTTTCTAAGAGTACAATCAAAACTTTTATAAGTTGGGAAATGAAATACGCTCTTTGACCCGATTTCTTCAAGATGATCTGGAATTATTTTTTTTTAATGTCACTATAAGAACAGGCTTTTTTGGTGATTTTTTTTTAACCTCAAACAACGAACAAAGACGAAAAAGAGTACAATTATAAGTGTAAAATATTTTAAGTAGGTAGATAATATTCCAACCCTTTGTTATGTGATAATTTCTATACAATAATAAATTTCCAGCAAAATTTAGTTAATTTATGTAATTGAATTAATATTTTGTTGAATGTTTTCTAGTTTTGCGTTAATTTAGGTCGTATTAAGTACCTACTACTTGTGTATCATTTGTTATTAATTATCACATACAGAATGTAGAACCATTTTTTAACACAGGGATTTTACATGTAAAAACAGAAATTTGAAAATATTGGCTCAATTAATTATTATTTTAGGGGAAAATATTAAACACAAAAATTGTAGAGATTCAGAAAAAAATCTTTTTTTATTAATTCAGTAACACTTTATGGTATTTATTGAAATAAAAAGAAAAAAAGAATTCACACTTTCTGATATAAATTCGAATTTGCCATAAAATGTTCAAGAAAAAAAGAATTCACGATTTCTGATAAAACTGTAGTCACCATGAAATGTTACAATTGAATCTCAGGTCCCGCAGTCATTTTTTTTAAGGATTTTAAAGAATCTCAGGGGCTCATCTCTTTATGAAATAATATACATAAAGAATTTTGGGGGTTCCGAGTTCTTTAATTTTTTAACGAAGATAAATAATCTCTGCGGCCCAAGTCGTTTTATTTTTAAAAAATATAGCACATCACAGGGACCCCTGAAGATATATTTTTTTAAATATTTATAAAGAATCTCAGGGGTCCCGGTCGTTATACCTATCTCCTAAAGCATATAATGAATCTCAGGGGCACTGGTAGTTTTACTTTATAAAGAATATAATGGATCTCAGGAACTCCGGCTGTTTAATTTTTTGAAGAATATAAAGAATACGAGCGGCACCGATCGTTTCATTTTTTAAAGAATATAACTGTATAATATATACAATTTCAGAGTCAATTCATTTTTTAAAGAATATGAATCTCAGGACTCCCTGGTAGTTTAATTTTTAAATAGTTCAAATGTTCGTGTCGTTTTTTGAAAGAATATAAAGAATCTCAGGCGTCTCAGTCATTTCATTTTTAAACAATATTAAGAATCAGAAGAGATCAGGTTGTTTCATTTTTAAAAGAATATAAAGAACTTCAGGGATTAAAATCTTGGAGGTTCCGGTCACTTCATTTTTTAAAGGATACTTATAAAGAATTTCATCAGGAGTCATGGTAATTTCATTTTTTAAAGAATAAATAAATAATCTCAGGAGTCGCAGTCGTTGCATTTTTTGAAGAATATTAAGAATCTCATCAGGAATCTCGGTCGTCTAATGTTTTAAAAAATATAAAAAATCTCAAGAGCTCCGTTCGTTTTATTTTTAAAGATAGGTATAAATGATCTCAGGGGTTCGATCGTTTCATTTTTTAAACAATATAAAGAGTCTCAGCGGTTCCGGTCGTTTCGTTTTATTTTTTAAATATTATAAGGAACCTCAGGGGTTCCGATCGTTACATTTTTTAAAGAACATTAAGAATCTCAGGGGCTCCGGTCGTTTCATTTTTTAAAGAACATTAAGAATCTCAGGAACTCCGATGGTTTAATTTCAAGTAATTTTACACAATCTCAGGAATCCCGGTTGTTTCATTTTTTTAAAGAACATTAAGAATCTCAGGGGTTCCGGTCGTGTCATTTTTTAAAGAACATAAAGAATCTCAGGAGCCCTGGTCTTTCCATTATTTTTAAGAATATTAAGAATCTCAGGGACTCCGGTCGTTTTATTTTCAAGTAATTTTACACAATCTCAGGAGTCCCCATCGTTTCATTTTTTTTTTAAGAACATGAAGAATCTCAGAGGCTCCGGTCGATTTATGTTTTAAAGAATATTAAAAATGTCAGGGACTCCAGTCATTTCATTTTTTAAAGAACATCAAGAATCTCAGGGGTCCCGGTCGTTCCATTTTTTAGAGAACATTAAAAATCTCAGGGGCTCCAATCGTTTCATATTTTTTAGAGAATATTAAGAATCTCAGGGACTCCGGTCGTTTCATTTTTTTTTAAGAACATTAAGAATCTCGGGGGTTCCGGTCGTTCCATTTTTTAAAGAACATAAAAAATCTCAGGAACCCTGGTCTTTCCATTTTTTTTAACAATATTAAGAATCTCAGGGGTCCCGGCCGTTTCATTTTTTAGAGAACATTAAAAATCTCAGGGGCTCCAATCGTTTCATATTTTTTAGAGAATATTAAGAATCTCAGGGACTCCGGTCGTTTCATTTTTTTTTAAGAACATTAAGAATCTCAGGGGTCCCGGTCGTTCCATTTTTTAGAGAACATTAAAAATCTCAGGGGCTCCAATCGTTTCATATTTTTTAGAGAATATTAAGAATCTCAGGGACTCCGGTCGTTTCATTTTTTTTTAAGAACATTAAGAATCTCGGGGGTTCCGGTCGTTCCATTTTTTAAAGAACATAAAAAATCTCAGGAACCCTGGTCTTTCCATTTTTTTTAACAATATTAAGAATCTCAGGGGTCCCGGCCGTTTCATTTTTTAAAGAACATTAAGAAAATCAGGGGCTCCGGTCGTTCCATTTTTTAGAGAACATTAAGAATCTCAGGGACTCCGGTCGTTTTATTTTGAAGTAATTTTCACAATCTCAGGAGTCCCGATCGTTCCATTTTTTTTTTTTTAAGAACACTAAGAATCTCAGGGACACCAGTCATTTCGTTTTTTAAAGAACATCAAGAATCTCAGGGGTCCCGATCGTTTCATTTTTTAAAGAACATTAAAAATCTCAGGGGCTCCG